GCATAGGTTCTCAAACCTTTAAATCCCTAGCCTATGCCTCAAGTATAACTAGGGTATAGGTTCTCAAACCTTTAAATCCCTAGCTTCTGCTTCTAGTATAACTAGGGCATAGATTCTCAAACCTTTAAATCCCTAGCTTCTGCTTCTAGTATAACTAGGGCATAGGTTCTCAAACCTTTAAATCCCTAGCTTCTGCTTTTAGTATAACTAGGGCATAGGCTCTCAAACCTTTAAATCCCTAGCTTCTGCTTCTAGTATAACTAGGGCATAGGTTCTCAAACCTTTAAATCCCTAGCCTATGCCTCAAGTATAACTAGGGTATAGGTTCTCAAACCTTTAAATCCCTAGCTTCTGCTTCTAGTATAACTAGGGCATAGGTTCTCAAACCTTTAAATCTCTAGCTTCTGCTTCTAGTATAACTAGGGCATAGGTTCTCAAACCTTTAAATCCCTAGCTTCTGCTTTTAGTATAACTAGGGCATAGGCTCTCAAACCTTTAAATCTCTAGCTTCTGCTTCTAGTATAACTAGGGCATAGGTTCTCAAACCTTTAAATCTCTAGCCTATGCCTCAAGTATAACTAGGGCATAGGTTCTCAAACCTTTTAAATCCCTAGCTTCTGCTCATTGCATAGCTAGGGCTATTTTTTTCTCAAACCTTTTAATCCACGTATTTCCACGTCTTCTTTTTAAAAGACTTATTTGAGAAATTCAACCAGTAAGTGTAAGCAAGACACAAAAAAAACGTGAGGCTGGTTTGTTAGGAATATAATCAAATGTTTTTGACTTTAATTTAATGAGGATTGGCACTTAAAAATATAATCCGTTTGTGGTGTCCTAGTGATGGCAAATTACATAGCAAAGCCAGATTCAACACGTTCAAATGTATTAAAACCTTGTCAGACATGTTTCAAACAAAGCTATAGCGGAAAACCTAACAAAAATGTTTGCTTTCAACTGGGCTGCGACATTATGAGTCCATAAAGCCAGAGACACTGTTAATACAAATTTATTGAAAACTTCAGTAGTAGTAGTTGCATTTATGATTATATTTTCTTTAAAAATTAAGAACATCCATTGTGAACAGGACTCTTTCATTGTGATGCTAGGAAATCTGTAATACAATTTTTCTTATCATTTATATACATTGCTACTTATGCAAACAAGAGTCCCTCTGGTGGATTTCAGTAAAAAATGTTCACATCAAACAACAAAAATGGCAGCATGCAAACACTAGCTCTGAAAAAAAAAACCTGGCTATTTATAACAGTGGCAGCCGAGCACCTGGCTGACAATGGACAACACTGGTAGCTAGAACAAGGCGAGTCTACACAGTGAAAGAAATGAGACATGAACCGACCAGGGGTGTCCCCGCGGAGCCTTGAGGGCGGGGGGCTCGGCCAACGCTAGAACTTACCCAGGTAGTCGAGTTGGTTTAGGGTCATGTCCCAAATGTGATTCTTCTTGCCTGGAATGTTTAAGGAAGCCGTTAAGAACCAAAACTATAAACTTCATCAACAGAGGAAACAACAGGTCAACAATATTATAATCTAATGGAGACTTTAGCATGCTCGTTTTTATTGATGAGGAACACAGGGAACTCACTAGTTCCCATGTTGAGGAGCACAGGGAACTCACCAGTTCCCACAGGGAACTCACCAGTTCCCATGTTGAGGAACACAGGGAACTCACTATGTCCTATGTTGAGGAACACAGGGAACTCACTTGGTACGAAATTGTATTCAAAGTGAATGAGGGATGTGTCCATGTTTCCCATGAAAGAAAAAAAAGGGGGAGAAAGTCCATGAAGAAACACTTCTAAAATGAACTAGATTAGAAAGCTCACTTGGTATCTTGATAGCTTTGATTATTTTCTGTATGCATTTTGTGAGTGAAGCTATTGTTATTTAAATTGAAACTCCTCACTAACATACTTCAATGGGCAGGGCAAGGGGAGGGGGAGGAGGCTATAACTAAGATATTAAAAATTATTAACATTAACCAAAAAAACAAACAACAACCCAGCAAAATCAAAGACTTGGTACAAACTAAACAAGGTCATGGTCAAAAACAACTCCAAAACATGATATAAATGTGGCAAAAATGGCTTCCCTATCAGAAGGTTTGTTTAACCCTGCTCTGGCACCATGGGCTCTATTTGACCCCAGCCCTCTTTGGACGGTTTATTTTTTAAAGCTCTCCGAGTAGTGACCTCGCCTGCCAAGTATTTAATCCTAAGGCCTTCCTAAGTACGTAACACATGTTCAATAGTTTCAAAGTATTTCCAATTATCCATTATTTAGGTTTATTTTCGCTTGGGGTCAAATTGACCCCATAGTACCCTCAATGTAGTAAATGTATTTTTTCCTTATTTCAAGGTTCTGTGACGTTTGCACCATAACAAAATGGCGACACGACAGTGAAATATTTATTTGGATTTTATAACACAATGTTGTATTAAAATATTTATTTGGATTTTATAACACATTGTCATACCATTACCATAGTGTGTCAACGAAAACAAAATATTCTAATAAAGTGCTGTTATTCTCGTCATATAGCATGTTTTTCTCCATGGGGGTCAAACTGACCCCATAGTACCAAATGTGTGACTTTTCCCATGGTACCAGAGCAGGGTTAAGATTTCTGTGAGAGCCAATCCAGGGCCATACATACCATTGCTGGCAGCACATACAGAAAATCTTGGAACCCAATATCAATATTTCTATCCCATAAAATAATGTACCGGAATGTTGTTGTAGCTCAATAAATAATAACAGAGGTTCCTGAAACTCTTTATGTCATGAAAAATTAAGTCAATAAAGAAAAGGTTATTTAACAAAAAGTAAATGGAAGCCAACAAGTAAAAAGAGAAATAAAATAAAAAAACAAAAAAAAAAACGGATTTAAAACAAAAAATTGCTATCGGTCCACATCTTTGTGCTATTAGTATCGATGCATCAGAGCCATAGTTATTTAAGAAAAGTAACTGAACCTGCATTTTCAACCATCTTTCAATCTCTAGTCCAAATAAAGAACAATAATTTAGAGGCTTATCCATTTAAAAGAAATCTACACAAATTAACCTTCAAAGAGCAGTCCGTCAATCAGTCATCGATGCGCTACATTAAATTGTTGAAGTCTTCCAGGCCACAAGAAAAATGGCTTTCTATCTTGACTAGAAAATGCTACGAGTTCTACAAGAGAAACTGCTATCCACCAAGTTGCCTATTTCATTTTGGTAAATGCAGAATGTGAGAAGACCATTTTATGTATTCACTTCAACATTTCTGGAGGACTTTTTACCTTTTTTTCTTAAATTTAGGGTGGCTTGAATTAATTTTCTCTCTCCATTTCAGAATGTCTTATGGAACCATGATATCTCCCTCTGTGTGGTGGGAGGGTTGAGTTATAGAAGCATATCTCCCTTTGTGGGGTGGGAAGGTTGAGTTACAAGGAGCATGTTATCTCCCCCTGTGTGCTGGGAAGGTTGAGTTATAGAAGCATATCTCCCTATGTGGGGTGGGAAGTTTGCATTATGGAAGCATGATATCTCCCTATGTGGGGTGGGAAGGTTGAGTTATAGAAGCATAAATCTCCCCCTGTGTGCTGGGAAGGTTGAGTTACAGAAGCATGATATCTCCCTCTATGGGGGTGGGCAGGTAGAGTAAATAAGCTTGAGGAAACCTGAGGCAAGCCAAAGATTACTATAAACTAAAAAATGGAACATAAGCCTGAGGAATGACAACCGCTACATGGGAAAGAGAAGAGAACTCAAACCACAACATTTTCAGTAAAAGAAAGTAACTCAAGTAACATAAGCTAACAAAAAAAAAAAAAAAAAAAAAAAAAAAAAAAAAAAAAAAATAAAAAAAAAAAACAAAAAAAAAAAAAAAAAAAAAAAAAAAACAAAAAAATTTAAAAAAAAAAAAAAAAAAAAAAAAAAAAAAAAAAAAAAAAAAAAAAAAAAAAAAAAAAAGAAAAAAAAAAGCTATTTCTTCTATAAACGTCCATGCTGTACTGAAATAAGGCAACACACACAATAAAAAAAAAAAAAAAAAAACAAAAAAAATTAAAAAAAAAAAAAAAAAAAAAAAAAAAAAAAAAAAAAAAAAAAAAAAAAAAAAAAAAAAAAAGAAAAAAAAAAGCTATTTCTTCTATAAACGTCCATGCTGTACTGAAATAAGGCAACACACACAAATGATAGAACAAGAGTGTAGAATATTAAGCATGGTATACCTATGCAGTTCTGGCCGGTGCTTACTCCTGTCATACGTAGCATGGGGGATGGGAGGAAAATTCAAAGTCATCTATTTAAAGTTTGCATATGTGTTTTTTCACAGAAGGATAATGCTGGTTTTTGTGTGTGTGTGCGTTGTTGAGCATTAATGTAATAATTTCAAATTATACAAATTGTTAAAAAATAGAGAGGATTTACAATCTGCCCTCTAAAAAAATAACTGTAATAAAAGTACACCCCCCTACCCTAACTCTTTTCATTAGATTGAGTAAAATTGAAGGGAACAAAAAAAAATATGCAAACATTTATAGGGAATCGTGAACTTTATAATATGAAACAAATGTAATTTATACATGACCATATCACAAATTATGCCCAACAAATGAAATTATGTATTAGTATGTGAAATTATTATTTATTTATAATATTTATCTATGGTCATGTGTAGCATTTACAGACCAGATGAGTGGGATATCTTATAATGAATACTAAATTAAATTTGTTTTACATTAATTAAAAAAAAATTATTTAAATATTGAGCATCAGAAAAATAAAATATAATTTCAACAGCAAAGTTTTTGATTTGTGGGTGTGTGTGTGTGTGAACAAATGCTTAAAGAAATTCAAACGATTTAAACACTAAAACTGGAGAAATTAAAAAAAACAGAACAACCAGAAACTATGAAATTTTTAAGAACAAATACATTTTGCTTATATTGAGTTTTTAATAGTTTGTTCAGTCCTGTATTTCCTTAAATATTTTCTTGGATGTTGTTTGCATTTTTCTGAAACCCGTTGACCTGAAACGAAATGATCTCATTACTCATAGCTCTTTTTTGCAGGGTGGGGTGTAAACACTACAGACAATCAATGACACTAAGATGTTTCCCCAGGTGAAACTGTGTAAGGAAAACACTTTTGGAGATTGTCATCAGTGAATGAATATGGATATGAAACACCTGTTTAAGAAACTATCAAGAACATAAATATATATATATGTATTTTTTTTTTAAATTCTAGGAAAAGTTCTTTAGAAAATAATGTATACATTTGCAAACAATTAAGAAAATGTTCTTTCAACAGTTGTTGAATGAGGCATTAGTCGTTGTATGAAGACAAACTCGTATGGACAACATTAAAAATGGCATTTCTCTCAGCCAATATGCATTCCAAATTGTGTCCACCACGCAAGGATGAGATAAGCAAACACGCAGAATCAACCTCTGCAGTGATTCATGGGATCTTCAGGCGTAGGTAAAAGAATTAGAGAGTTCAACTCTATGCCCACCACACAGTTAACTCTTTATCTCGACGAACCCAACAATACTACAAGTAGATTCAAAATACATTACTTTGTAGTACTTCTTGTAAAATTAAACCTATACTTATAAAACCCTGAACTTGATTCTCTAAGCTACAAACTGAATTGTTCAATAAGTCATGTACTACAACCATCCCACCAGTTGATGGCACAATGCTATAATAAATATTACTGAAATTCACCAGCACAGAAATGTCTAGTTGTTGATAGTGAACATGAAAATGTCCATTTGTTGTCAGTGAACTTGGAAATGTCCAGTTGCTTATAGTGAACCTGGAAATGTCCATTTGTTGTCAGTGAACATGGAAATGTCCATTTGTTGTTGTAACACACACATGCTCTGACATCATTATCACTGTAACTTATTTCTTAGGCTGTGGGTTATGTCAGTAGCACGGTTACTTGTTTTAAGTTAGTAATTCAGAATGCCGGCTAAGACTTCATCGTTCTTCCTCGTATTATCCAGGCACGTAAATAAGAATACTGAATCCTGGTTAAACTTACAGTACTTTATTAAATCACAATTTACACAGATAATATTAATAATAATCCTTGCATGAATGTAATCATTTCACACATATATATATAATATTCCATCACTCAGAAAGACACGTCCTCACACTGCTATAACTCAGCTCAACTGTCCTACATCTCAACTCTAACTCAACTCCGACTAACTCTGACTCTCCTTGCGCTCAGCTCTCCTTATCTCAGTCAACTCATACTTTATTACCAGCAAAGCGTGGAAAACAACCGCTCTGACAAAAACATAATTTTACTCTCCAAAAACGTGGAGCTCACATTGTCCTCTCAAAATACATGGTCAACACAATTCACTGTTCACTCATGCTACCTCTCTGTTTTCATGTGAAAACATAGTCCGTTACAGTTCCCTTGTTATAAAATCAGCCCATTTTTCATATGATTACAACGTCGAGGTCTTATCCTTTACTCTACATATACAACATGGCTCAGTGTTGAACGAATCATTTAAGATAATATAAGTTATGTACATCAACATTTGTTGGTTATAAGCGACACAATTTTGTATGAAGCGACCTCATTTACGATTTAATGAATGTCTGATTAAATGTCCATTTAATACAAAAGAGCGAAATCTTTCTTTAAATTGCTCTTTACTGGTTTAAAGTGGGATAACTTCTTGTTGTTGTGCAAACTCATCAGTTCTGACGTAAATATATTTTTTTTCTTTTACTGATAATAGATTTGTTTCTCCTACTCTATAAATGTGTCGTGGTAACGCTGGACATTGCCAGGAATCTCGGCCTTTAAATGTGTCGTGTTAACGCTGGACATTGCCAGGAATTTCGGCCTTTAAATGTGTCGTGTTAACGCTGGACGTTGCCAGGAATCTCGGCCTTTAAATGTGTCGTGTTAACGCTGGACGTTGCCAGGAATCTCGGCCTTTAAATGTGTCGTGTTAACGCTGGAGGTTGCCAGGGATCTCGGCCTTTAAATGTGTCTATGTCCAGTTGTCAGAGAAAATGGAAATGTCAAGTTGTCAGCGAACATGGAAATGTCCAGTTGTCAGTGAAAATGGAAACGTCAAGAATCATACTTCAAAGGCAATTGGAGGTAGGAAAAAAAAAAAAAAAAAGCCTTTTTTATTAACCATTTTCAATCAGTTGCATATTTCAAAGTGAAGGGCCGAGTTGAAATTAATTTCCATTTTAAACTTGATAGGGAAATTCCATCCATGCTTTATTATGGCAGTAACACACACACACAAATGAGATTTGCCAGCCCAGCATTCACCAGTGGTTATGACAGCGAAGAAAACGTTCAAACACAAACTTTTGATAAAGCTTATTTAACTTGCTGTGTCATTCTTTTTAAAACTGTTATAGTTTTGTTGTTAGATTGTTATTAGAAAATGGTTGATTTTTACTGACAATGCATAAGGCGAACCATCACAATGTCACTGAAGGGTGAATAAGAAAATGCCGTCACCAACCTGTTCCATTGAGCGGAGGCAACTTGCTATTGACGGATCCATCAGGCGTCTGGTAGCTGATCATGTCTCGTTTTTTCACTCCCTCTGCTGGTGTCTCATCTGTGACAACTACGGTTGATCTGTCTGCTGTTGTGTTGGTACCCATGTTGTTCGTCTGTGGAAGAGATGAAAAGTATGACAACTGTAACAAGTGTGGGGCTGACGATTGGTTCAATAAACTAAAAGAATTTTTTTTTTTTAAATTTATGACAGCGTATATATTCTTTTGATTTTTGTGTATGTGTTGTAAATAAAAAAAAAAAGTATTAAAAACAATTTAATTCAGTACAAAATGATTTAATTCTTTAAATATGTTTTTTTAAAAATTTAAATTGTTAAAAAAATAAAATTTTGTTGTTCAAACTCTTTTTTTTTTAATTGTTAATCGGCAAAATAAGACAAACACACAAATTTGATGCAAACCCCCCCCCCCCCCCCCATAAATACATATTAAGTTGTTGTAATTTGATCCACATGTTATAATAAATAAAGAGGATTCACTGATTTCATTTAAACTGTTTTTCTATAAATTAGATAAAAGATTACCTTGTTTCAATTTCTTTAAAAAAAATATATCAATTTTCCACATAACCATTAGTACCGAATAATTTATATCTTATGGATAGGTTTTTAGGTTTGTATTTGTAAATATAATCCACCAACACATTTTTCTTCAATTTTCCTTAGAAAAATAACTGCCAAAGCCTAAGAGATGTAAAAATTTTTTTGTTAGTTGACAAGGAAAAATAAAAACATAAAACACACAAACAAAGCCCTAAGGGTAAGCAAAGCTTTGAGTTTTCTACTTTAAACAAAGTTAAAGATGACCGACCCTAAGTTGAGATAAAGCCCCGGGCAACGACTGAAGTCAGCTTACAATTACATCATAGATTTGATTTTGAAAATGTCCTTTAGTGTCGGAGAAAATAAGAGGATTCTGCTCTGTTCAAAATGTAACCCTTTTTCAGTATGAGTTTTTGGAGAAAGTCTCGGTAGCAGTGAGTAGGCACGCCACAGTTTTATCATCAAATACCTCAAGATAAAAACTTCATTAGGTTTATTAGTCAGTAACTTCACACATCAGCCACTACCAACATTTAGAAAAAAAATGTGTGTCGTTTTAAAATACTCTGGAAGGAATAAGTAGGTCTAGAGAATAATTCTCAATTTAATATGTCTACTTTACTTCTGATGAACTTTTAAGAACACTTGCCTCATCAGAGAATTACAGTAGCACTTCTGAGAACAATATTTAGACTAGAGAAAGCTAGGCAATACTGAATAATAAGAAAATAAAACAGCAAAAACCATGTTAAAAAAAAACAACAACAACATGGATTGAGTTAATTAACCAAGAATGAGCAGATTAAAAAAAAATAAAACAAAGAAACCCTTTAACTAACAATAATTGTTACATTACAGCTACCAACCATCAAGGAAAACTAGAATGAAATGGTTGATGGCTCATAACAAAACAATAAAAAAAGCTATATTTCCTAAAATATATAAGTATTTATGAAAAATTACTTCTAGTCTAATGGAATTGAAAACCCCCACCTTCCATTTCTCTTCCATTTATCTCAGGAATAATTGTAATTTAAATACTTGGGTCACACAGATAATAGGGAATTTGGGTATAGGAGTGACTTGGCGTCTAAATGAATGAGAACCACCGAAGCATAAGATCTGGAATTAAGCAATATGAACTCTTGAATCGGTAAATAATAATTGAAAGCAGAGATGAAATGATTGGCTAGGCCTATTAGGGCTGCTGTGTCATCGAGTGATTTAATAAAATTTGTGCTTTACTTTAGGCCTGGGCTGCTATGTCAGCAAGTGATTTAATAAAATTTGTGCTTTCCTCCAGGCTTGGGCAACCTTATTGTGGCCATCAATGTCGATAGGGCTTAGGTTTGGCTACTAAGCTGATATAACTTTACGATAAGACTTTCTCCAAGTCCTCAGATACTTCTGTTCAAACATTCAACACGATAAGACTTTCTCCAAGTCCTCAGATACTTCTGTTCATACATTCAACACGATAAGACTTTCTCCAAGTCCTCAGATACTTCTGTTCATACATTCAACACGATAAGACTTTCTCCAAGTCCTCAGATACTTCTGTTCAAACATTCAACAAGAAAAACTTGAAGGAAACAAAAAGCCACTCCACAGGAGAAAAGTAGATCTTTGATTTCATCATCTTGAAAACATCCCAAATATACACAGGTCTTTCTGTTACACACTGGGACAGGTCATGTGTAAATACACTTAGACACATCTTCAAAGTTAATTAGTTTCAGTTTCCTTTAAACAAAAATTTCTAAGATTATGATTTTTTTTTTTTGCCCTTCATTAATTTTTTCAATTTTATATTTTTGGTCAGGTTTTTAAAAAAAAAAACCAAAAAAAAACCCCAGCCTTCTCTAACAAAAGTAAAAGGTTGCCCAACCTGTCTCTGGACCATTGGGTGTGAAACGCACATGCATTTGGACACGGAAAAGCGTGCTTTCGTGCATACACAACCCCAGATGACCTACTTTCTGTGTGGTGACATGGGTAGACCCATAGTACTCGTGGTGAGCATTCACCGCGTTACCATCTTTCTCAGAATGACCAACACTTACATGTGACACCGGCTCTGCGTCAGGCACCACAAATCCTCGACGATCTAATAAGCTGTGAACAAAAGGAGAACAAGACGCATTATAATGAGCTATTAACTTTTAATTTTAAAAAAAGGTTCAATCTATTGTTAATACAAGCACCCAAGAAGATGAGACAATTTGAAGGACCCACATCAACGCCAATAAATTCTTTGGCCATCAAAGCTTTCTCACCTACACTTTAAGAGTAGACGTAGATGTGGTCAGTAGCCAGCTACTCATTACGTGAATTACTTCAGGCTTAGGAGGAAGCCCGTTTAAACGAGACGGAAGATTCCAACAACGCCTGCACCTAACTTATCCTACAGGCATGCGATCAAAGTATCAAGCTGGTTGTGAAGTGGATTGGATGATTTAAGTCTGATGAGCTCCCTTTGAACCACGCAGGGGGAGAGCACTCACACACTATTCATATTTTATTTCAGCCCACAAAGTTTTGATGGCAACTGAGATTTTTAAAATTATTAAAACCAATGCTGGTAGGTTCCTCTTTTATAAATTCAGTCTTATTCAAAATAATAAAAAAAAAAAACCAACAACAAAAACAACCCGATATACATCAGTCAGTATGAATATTAGTTTTACAATTCAGCTTGTCCAACATAGATTTCAATGTGAATACAAATACAATGTCTTTACATTTTTTCCCACTTCAAGAAATTTGCTAACAACTTTATTATTTACCTTGGGGGATTTGGTCCACATAAAACTCCCATACAGTTCTTGAAGAGCGAGCCTTTACTAAAAGGGTTGAAGTTATCTTGACCTCTTTTTGCTGTAAACGTACCTTTGATCTAAGACGAGGAGAGTAAACAAAAATAATGAAGACCTGATGATATTTTTCATCCTCCATGAACAGTTGGTTTTACAACCGTGGTGGCAGTAAACAAAAACAAAACAACAGCCAATAAAATAAGATATTTTATTAACAAAAATTAAATATATATAAATACAGAATATGCACCAAAATAAACAAAACAAAAAACACAAAAACTGGCATCAAAATTATAATTGACTTAATTTAAGACGTCAAGAGCAATAGCAACATATGAATGGATTAAAAAAATGGTATTAAACAAGAAAAACCACACAACAATTGGAACCCATCTACTGACTAGAGGATGTAATGATGTTCTTTATCATGTATCCTTTGGCCTGTTATATTTTATGCCAGGCTATGATCCTATTCCATTCACATATTCTCACAAAACCGCTCTAAATGAAATTAAAATGTTCACATGATTTATTTGCGCAACTATACACAATATAGCTTAAACAACTATAAACAACATAGTTTATAGAACTATAAACAATATCCTCATTTGTTATTTGAACCCTATATTATTTATTGGGTGTGTGAATATCAGATATGGTTGGATTATATAATTGACTGTTCATCAAATGTGAAGGATAAACAATGTATTTGAGTGAACAGAGAATTAAATTTAAGTACTGAGCTGTAGCATTTATATAAAATATGCAAGATACACACAGCACAGGTCTTAACGAGTCCTCTTGTGCGCATAGAGGATCTTCATTGAGTTTCCTGTTAAATGGATTTGTGTATAAATATATGTGCTTATATTTGAGGTAGTTAAAATCCGATAGCTGTGTTTTACTTAAATATGAGAGCTGTTTCACTTTAAATCTGATAGCCATGTTTTAAATATGATAGCCGGTTTGACTTAAATCTGAGAGCTATATTTTGCCTAATCTGTTTTCAGAGTTGCAGCAAGAACACACAACAACCATGTTTAAAATGCATCACAATTTTTTCAACTGGGCCGACCTTCAACATAAACATTACATTTTTACAAGCAGGAACTGACTGTCAATTTAATCTTGACCTTCCAACAGGTTTTGTGAATTTGTGAATTTAACAACAATTATGTCCAGTTAACAGAAGATTGGCTACTTTAAAGACCGCCATGTTGATGGCTACTTGTGAAGACTGACTTGCTTGCCTGCTTACAACAGATTTTTCCCCAGGGACCACATGATCCCTAAAGTAATACAAATTAACTTAACTTAATGCTTTATATTTGTCTCATTACTAAAAAAACAAATTTTGGTGAGGTAAGGAAAAGGGTAGCAATAATTTATTTTTTTTTTTACAAAAAAGGTGTTTGGGGTGGGGGGGGGGGGATACCTTTTTCTCCATTAACAGGTCAAATGTTATTACTTTTTGGTGCACATTAAGTTAAATTAGTTTTTAGAATATTAATTGTTAGATATTTTTTGAAGTCACACGGAAACATAAGTTAACTTACGGTTTCGTACTTGCCCCCCCCCCCCCAAATTAAAAATGAAATAAACAATATAATGACATAACAGAACATGCTTTACTCCTTGATAGTAAAAGAAGTTAGCTTAAATCAAAATGCAAACAAAGTACAACTTGGACAGGTGCAGCCAAACTGCCATTCAAATAATTTAATGTGTTTTTTTTCTCTCAATAAAACAAACAAACCAGTGTCTAGGGTTACCCAAATTAAGATTTTTTTTTTTTTGGTTAAATTTCTTTATAATTGTAAAAGAGGTGACCAAAAAGGGATGCCTCAAAAAACAAGCAGTGGATCTGGGGCAACAGCAGCCACCCCAAAATTTCCACATGGAGAGATCTAGTTTCCCAATTGAGAGTGAGACACCTATACATATTCGATTCCCTTTGTTCTTGGTAGGGCTGTTTTGCTCTGACTTTTTCATTAACAACGTATTTAGCAGCAACAAAATGTTAAAGCAAGTTATCCCCCCAAAAAATGTGAAAGCAAGTTATATCAACAAAATGTTTAAGCAAGTCATCCCAACAAAATGTTAATGCAAGTTATCTCAATAAAACAAAATTTCCAAAGCAATCGTCCATTGGCTAACACAAACAAACATCCCTATATTTGATAATCGTCCTAAGCAAAAAGCCATTTACTCACATCTTCATTGGTAGTCAGCTCCGAGCCTGTGAGATAGGAATGGAAACCAGCCAGGCCCACCACCGACCAAATGGAGAAAAAGCAAACTAGGGCCTCTATTACAGTGGACAACGGTCAAGGAAAGCTCAAAACATTTTTTTTTTTTTTTTTTTTTTGGGGGAGGGGGGAATATGGCAAACAATACGAATGGTAGCAAAAAAATTAAAACCTAGGAAAGCTCAAAACATTTTTTTTTTTTTTTTTTTTTTTGGGGAAGTGGGTAATATGGCAACAAATACGATAGTTAGCAAAAAAATTAAAACCACACACTATCTGAAAAATCAGGCATGAGTTTTCACTCACATAAAATAAAGGGAACAGTAATGGTTAGCAAGGCCAAAAGGATTAACATTGACACATGAGAAAAAAAGAAGTGTACTAATATCAACACGTTTTGTGTTAAATGAGATTTGTGTGTTGGGGAGAATAACACAGGAAGCATTCTGAGCCACTGAACTGGTGCAATGATTCACACATTTTATAATATATAATAAATATGAAGAAAAAATTGGATCCTTGACCAGAAGCTCTTAAGAGATTTCTTTAGTAAATGATGTTTAAAAAGGAAAAAAAAAAGATATTGTCAAATTGATCTCTACATTATTTAAATTTTCTTTGCAAACACATTTAAATCAGAAGAATCATATAAATGTCTCTAGGCTACTGTCAAATGTCCAAGAAACTGGGACACCCAATGTCTCTGATAGTAGCCATGGTATGTTTTGTCTTCGGGTTAAACAGCAATGCATGACACGAGTAGCCAATTTCATGAATAACGAATTAGCAGCACCTATTACCATGTTTGACAATTGAATCACCCATGGCATGTGTCAAATGTCTGTCCACTTGAGAGAACTAATGTCTGTTGTCAAATGTCTGTCCGACTTGAGACACCCATTGAGTCAACTGTGTTAAATGTCGAGCACCCACTGAGTGACCTATTGTTTAGTGTCTTTGGGTCCTCCTAGTTAGAGGTCTGGTAACTCCTACAGAGCTCTACTTCTCCCCAACAGCAGCGATTTCTTTTAGTTTTCTTTCTTTTATAGCTGCTAATGGCAGACCAGACCCAGAATAGAATTCAGCCTTCTTTCATCCTATTAGGCTAACCAGTCTCCGCCAGTGGTCACTGCCAGAATGACCAGTGTGAAGTGACCCAGACGCTCCATCTGGGATTTGATTAACTTGGAACTGACTTAATGAAACAATTTATACCCTTAATTGCTTCAGTCACGGAAACTTATTTAATATACCAGAAATTTCCCTTTGTAGGAATGATTGTTTTAATTTTAAAAAAAAAAATATATATATAAAGTGAAGATGAGAATAGAAAAATAAAGTTGTTTTAATTGGAGTGGGGGGGGGGGGGGTGGTTTGGTCATCCTTAAAGTAAGGTCTTATGAAACCAATAACATACTCCCAACAAATTTTTAAATTAAGGTTCAGATCAATTTAAAAAAACAAAAAAAAAAAACAACCCCTCTCCGAAACATTCTTGTAATTTTTTATCTGAAAACTGTTGAGATCAAAACAATCAATATTTCAAAATGAGTACACTGAACAAAGTGCAGCTCTACTGAAAGCGACATTGACTGACAGGTGCAGGGCAACATAACATGTAGTGGTGGCATATCAAGCAGGAAACAGTGTCAATAACTCACGTCTTCATTAGTGGTCTGCTCAGAGGTGGCCAGGTAAGTGTGAAAGCCGGCTAATCCAATCACGGACCAAACGGAGAAAAAGCAGATAATGGCCTCCACTATAGTGCGGCATGTCAAGGAAATTCAACGGCAATGACAAGAAAAAACACTTCTCTCTAAAGGGAGAGATGTAATATTTGGAAATGTAATTATTGGACGTGTGTCAAGAGACAAGTTAAAGGGGGCTGAAGCTGCCGGTCCAAGAAGCAGGTAGATGACAATCACTTTCACTCTGGTTGTAAATCTTGATGCATACATCATCACATTAGTACGGATGGCCTTAAATAATATTTATCCACCAGAAACTGTTACGAAATGCTGAGAACAGTAAACCATTAGTGCAAAGAGAGCAAACATTACCATCTTCATTACTTAAAAAAAAATTAGGTAACCTGTGCCCTCACTAAATGATAGAATAAAAGAAACTTTTGGAGGAGGACCTTTCAAGGAAGCAGGAAAGCATTAGTGTCAAAAAAGTAAGTCGGAATTAAAGACCCTGGTGCTAAAAGTACAGAAGTCACATTATTTGCCGAAATCAATCTAAATTGTGGCCTTTTCTTATCCGGTTTAGTCAAGTGTACTGCAGAAATTTGATAACATTAAAATGTTCCTAAGTCCCTTGCATTTGAACAAATTACTATGTACATCCTGCACTTATTTAAACAAGCCAAAAAATTGAGAATTATCAAAGTTTATAAAGAATATTTGAACTGGATTATCTCAAACTAAGTATTTTGCAACATGAGTAGTTTTAGCACTAACGTCTTCAATTTCAAATATTTGTTATAGTGTAACGACTTCAAATATTTTTTATAGTGTAACAATTTCAAATTTCAGTTATGTTGTAACAATTTCAAATATTTTTTAAGGTGTAACCATTTCAAATATTTGTTATTGTGTAACAATTTCAAATTATCACTCTTTTTTGCATGAAGAGAAAAAAGGGTTGTATGAACATGACATCTCTAAGTGTGTTGTAGAGCGCACAAGTTACATAGGAGGATAATGATCTACACACTACAGCTGGTGCTCACAAGCCACGATGATTCTTCTTTTATTTCTACTCATTTTTTTAAATGGCATTTGAACCATGTACCGACCCATTGGTTAGCCATTGACACAAAGAGCTGTACATCATCTCAACATTCACAACATGTGTTTCAGGTAACTTGTGTGCAATCCATTTTCAGTTATTTTTTAAAACGAAAACCTAATTTAAAATTTGAACAAGTGTAAATGGCTAACATCATACTTCATCCAACTCTTGTAATAAAAACTTTGTCTTAAATCCATCTTGATTATAACAATTTCCAATGAGTTTTCTTCCAGAAGCCACCAAATTTCAAATAATTCTTTGCTTAAAATACATAGTTCAACATCTTGAACTTCAATTAAAAAAACAGATCTAAACAGTTTGTGTGGCTTATTAAATTTAAAAAAATAAAAATGCAACCCCTTTTGGGTAAAGCCAGGAGTATAAAATTTCAAAAATTTGCATACATCAGACCAAAGGTTCCAAAAAGTTCAAATTTAATTCTTTTAATCCTCTCAAAATATCTTTCAGAAAGGTAAGGCTTCCAAACGGTTCATAGTGTCAATGTGAAAAATATTAAAAAGTCCTGTACATTGCACAGAATGTAACAATTGTGATACTGGACTGAATGATTTGTAACATTTTACCATTTTGGAATGCATTTAATTATAGGACCTTTGCCTACTAAAATTAACAAATGCCATCTCAAAATGAAAGAAAATATCTGCTGAATGTTTTTAATTTTTTTTTTATAATTGGCAATATATTTACAAAAGTGGACAGATCATAGATTTTACAAATAAATGTTAAAGTATCGTTAAATTCAGAGTTTCAGTTTTTATAGTATGTCTCTGTGATTGAGACAAAGCTGGTTTACTGAAATAGACTAGTAATAACAACTAGGGATAACTTACATTACAGACCATTTCAAAAAGCTTGGAACCTTTGGTATGAGCACAAAAACAATTTAACAGAGACATGATTATTTGCATATTTTGTTGTTGTTGCTTGTGGTACAACACATTTTTAAAGAAAAGGATATCTAGCAGGTGAATCTTTCATAGCAGTCAAAAAATTGTCATCTTGTGCACCTGAAAGTAGAGAAGTGGAAGAAGTTACATCTTTGTCATTACACATTACTTCAATTTCACATCTTACAATACAATCAAAATTCAGTGACATCCTATAAACAAAATATTTGAGTTCAAACCATTGACACCAACAGAGTCAATATGCCACCTCAGCTGTGGACCCCACTGTGGCAACCATTGCTTCAATTGCTGTACCATGCTACCCAGTCATATGAAATGAATGCAAACAACATACTTCCCTAGCCCGCAAGGAAATGATGCTGACAGAGGCAACCCATGTAAAGGCTTTGCATTTTCAGAAAGTGTAGTCGCATTCCATTTACATACTTTGCATATTTTTATGATTTACATCAATGAAGGAGCTTTGATAAGCTTAAATCCAAAATATTAAATTTCATAAAACCGGTAATAGGATAAGTTTTTATAAAAAACTGGGTTAAAACAATATGCAGTTCATAGAAAGCTGACGTGGATTAGACTGGATGTGGCCGTTTAAAAAAGCTCGACCCCGTAGATCATTGTTTCTTAAACAGGGCTGCTGGTTGGGGTCATCTGCTAAAAACAGTGATGACTGACAAAGATGTTTATATTCTGCAGGAGTTCTTTGAGATTATTTGAGGACCACCAAGGGTAAATAAATATTTTCAAAAATGTTTCCCCTGATGAAACTCATAGGTTTCCAGCAAGACAATAACAGTGGAGAAATCTAGTCATTCTAGAATACTGTCGCGCCAATCCCATCTGCATGCATAGGAGCCAGAATGATCAATAAATTGATTGTGGGCCCTTAATAAATATATTTAGAAGAAGAAACAGATCTCCAATGAATGAAAGCCTAGATTAATTTGTGTGAACAAACGCTACTATTGTCTTCACTATCCTGCTACTATTGTCTCCACCATCCTGCTACTATTGTCTCCACCATCCTGCCATTATTGTATCCACCATCCTGCTATTATTATCTTCACTATCCTGCTATTATTGTCTTCACCATCCTGGTATTATTGTATCCACCATCCTGGTATTATTGTCTTCACTATCCTAATTAATACGAATTCTGTTATTTTCATCCTCTTTATTTCAGAAAAAACAAGCATAAGGGAAATAATCTAATTTGAGAATTGTAATGCCATTAGAAATGAGATCTGAGAGATGGCGATTTAAAAAGGGGAGTTACAAGAAGCTTGAAAGGTTCAAGAGCTATTTACAGGAGAATCATCTGCTGGGATGATTGAACAAAGAATGATTGGCCAAGGAATAACGAGCCTGTTCCACACAAAGTTTCACACTCTGTCAAGTGATGTTAACTATTTTTTGGTTCATTATGTCACTGCATATTTGGTCCCAAGCACACCAATTCTCATATGCAATACTAAATTGTGTGCATCTTTTATGAAAAGACTTTTAAGGCAAGATCAAGAAGAAAAAAAGGTCCAGGACAATTTTTTTTTTAGAACAGCTGAAAGGCACTCGTTAAAAAATAAATTTGTTATGATAAATTACAGACCATTAATTATGTGTATGATTTCTCTTTAATGAAATTGTGTAGAGCAGCCCTGAAAAGGATTCCTTCTTTAGAAAGCAAATAGAATTATATATATATATAAAGAGATAGAGAGATGATAGATCGATAAGATAAGATAGATAGATAAGATAGATATAGGGAGAGAGATACAGAAAGAGAGAGATAAAAATAGACAGAGATAGAGAGAGCAAGAAAGAGAGAGAGAGAGAGAGAGAGAGAGAGAAAGAGATAGAGACAGATAGAGAGAGAGAGAAAGAGAGAGGGAGAGAGAAAAAAGGTTTTAGCTTTTAAGATGACATCAGAACAAAATATGGAACAAAAATTGCTTTATTAATTGTTGACCTATTGTATTAATCACCCCCCCCCCCCCCCTTCTTTAAATTTTTTTTAAGGGGGGGTAGAAAGAGAGAGGGAGAGAGAAAAAAGGTTTTAGCTTTTAAGATGACATCAGAACAAAATATGGAACAAAAATTGCTTTATTAATTGTTGACCTATTGTATTAATCACCCCCCACCCCCCCTTCTTTAAATTTTTTTTAAGGGGGGGTGGGGTGGAAGTATTTCCACAATGTGTAATTGGAGACTCACTGTTGTGATGAGACATGACTAATATTGATGTAGCACAACACAGATGAGAACAATGACATAATGAAACATCTGAAAAGAAGATGCTGACATTTCTGTATTGGGTACAGTCTATTAGCACAATGTCTTCCTTTGTTTAAGACAAGACAAAAAAATATTCCCCTTTTAAGATGTTAAAAATAATAATTAACAAATTCATGATATCTGTAAGTGGGTGTAAATTTTGTTGACTGTAGAATTAATGTGTAGGTTCTATTTGCAGGGTCGCATATGACATGGTAAATTCCAACACGCATAGGACGTGGTAAATTCCAACACGCATAGGACGTGGTAAATTCCAGCACGCATATGACATGGTAAATTCCAGCACGCATAGGACGTGGTAAATTCCAACACGCATAGGACGTGGTAAATTCCAGCACGCATAGGACGTGGTAAATTCCAACACGCATAGGACGTGGTAAATTCCAGCACGCATATGACATGGTAAATTCCAGCACGCATAGGACGTGGTAAATTCCAACACGCATAGGACATGGTAAATTCCAACACGCATAGGACATGGTAAATTCCAACACGCATAGGACATGGTAAATTCAAACATGATAGGATGTGGTAAATTCCAACATGCATATGACATGGTAAATTCCAACACGCACATGACATGGTAAATTCAAACATGCATAGGACATGGTAAATTCAAACATGAATAGGACATGGTAAATTCCAACACGCATATGACATGGTAAATTCAAACATGCATAGGACGTGGTAAATTCCAACACGCATAGGACATGGTAAATTCCAACACGCATAGGACATGGTAAATTCAAACATGATAGGATGTGGTAAATTCCAACATGCATATGACATGGTGAATTAATGTGACTTACCCATTACTATTAGGCTTACCCCCCCCCCCCCCCCCCNCAACCAGAGCAGACTTCTCTCATGGGCAACTATAGTTTATATAATATAAAACAGACAACCAGAGCAGACTTCTCTCATGGGCAACTATAGTTTATATAATATAAAACAGACAACCAGAGCAGACTTCTCTCATGGGCAACTATAGTTTATATAATATAAAACAGACAACCAGAGCAGACTTCTCTCATGGGCAACTATAGTTTATATAATATAAAACAGACAACCAGAGCAGACTTCTCTCATGGGCAACTATAGTTTATATAATATAAAACAGACAACCAGAGCAGACTTCTCTCATGGGCAACTATAGTTTATATAATATAAAACAGACAACCAGAGCAGACTTCTCTCATGGGCAACTATAGTTTATATAATATAAAACAGACAACCAGAGCAGACTTCTCTCATGGGCAACTATAGTTTATATAATATAAAACAGACAACCAGAGCAGACTTCTCTCATGGGCAACTATAGTTTATATAATATAAAACAGACAACCAGAGCAGACTTCTCTCATGGGCAACTATAGTTTATATAATATAAAACAGACAACCAGAGCAGACTTCTCTCATGGGCAACTATAGTTTATATAATATAAAACAGACAACCAGAGCAGACTTCTCTCATGGGCAACTATAGTTTATATAATATAAAACAGACAACCAGAGCAGACTTCTCTCATGGGCAACTATAGTTTATATAATATAAAACAGACAACCAGAGCAGACTTCTCTCATGGGCAACTATAGTTTATATAATATAAAACAGACAACCAGAGCAGACTTCTCTCATGGGCAACTATAGTTTATATAATATAAAACAGACAACCAGAGCAGACTTCTCTCATGGGCAACTATAGTTTATATAATATAAAACAGACAACCAGAGCAGACTTCTCTCATGGGCAACTATAGTTTATATAATATAAAACAGACAACCAGAGCAGACTTCTCTCATGGGCAACTATAGTTTATATAATATAAAACAGACAACCAGAGCAGACTTCTCTCATGGGCAACTATAGTTTATATAATATAAAACAGACAACCAGAGCAGACTTCTCTCATGGGCAACTATAGTTTATATAATATAAAACAGACAACCAGAGCAGACTTCTCTCATGGGCAACTATAGTTTATATAATATAAAACAGACAACCAGAGCAGACTTCTCTCATGGGCAACTATAGTTTATATAATATAAAACAGACAACCAGAGCAGACTTCTCTCATGGGCAACTATAGTTTATATAATATAAAACAGACAACCAGAGCAGACTTCTCTCATGGGCAACTATAGTTTATATAATATAAAACAGACAACCAGAGCAGACTTCTCTCATGGGCAACTATAGTTTATATAATATAAAACAGACAACCAGAGCAGACTTCTCTCATGGGCAACTATAGTTTATATAATATAAAACAGACAACCAGAGCAGACTTCTCTCATGGGCAACTATAGTTTATATAATATAAAACAGACAACCAGAGCAGACTTCTCTCATGGGCAACTATAGTTTAAAAAATATAAAGCCATTATTAGAGTAAATAAATATATGACCCCCCCACCCCCCCTTACTTTTCCCGCCCAAGTATCCTGTTGTCATTGTTGTGACTGTTGATGCCTAAGTATAAAGCAAGCAGCAATACTCCTAGAGCTAAGATAGGCAAGCTCTAAAAGATTGATATCTTTGAATGACAGGCTTAGGAGAGATAATGCCCACCACCACTATTCACCACCAGGACTTTTCACACAGGCCACCACAGAGAAGACAGCAGGGCCAGGCTATTGATTTATTTGATACCAGACTACCATCAGCTCTGGAACTTGTTGAGCTTTATTGTTTTTGTGTTCATATTTGGACAATTATAGATTAGAGGTAAAAGCCTTTATCTTCTGGACCATTATATATTAGAGATTGCACTATGCCATAACTACCTATCCCCATTGGTTGTAC